TGCCTGGCAATGCTTGAAGCTGCCTGTGAAGAGGAAGCAAGCTCCACGGTGGGACCCATCTCACCCCCCCAGCTCCTGCGGCAGCAGCTCTGGACAGGGAGGAAGACACCTTTGCTGAAGCCCTTCCATCTTCTGCCTCCCCTTCGCCTCCCTGCAAGGACACTGGACTCAGCCTGAGCTCAGGCAAGCGCGGACTGTCATCCTGGGTTTGTGGTCATACTGTGATATTAGCATATCTCTCATTATAAGATTTTTGATGTAATAGCGTATGGTCTATGATATCACATGCATGGCATATAAAAGATTGTGTGTGTGTGTGTGTGTGTGTGTGTGTGTGTGTGTGTGTAGAAACCATGTCTATGAACAGGCCAACAAGAGAAGAGGCAGAGAGGAGGAATGCAACAGCATACAGTTTGGAAATTGACCCAGCAGCAGACCAATAGCTCAGCCCAGGCCCGGGGTTGGTTTGCAATCACATTCACGCAGGTGTCAGGCATTGTGGCCACTTCAGTACCAGTGAGAGGTTCATGCTGAAATCTGCAGGAATCCATCTATTTCCATGAAATTGGGAAGAAACAAGAGCTGAAGGGACTGCAGCAATGTGGCATTTTTTTAAGGTGTTGCTAACCAGCTAATAATATCTGGGTTTTGGGGCGTGCTGCACACACTCGAAGGCTCTGCCAACATAAGCTAATTAACCTGTACTCAGAGGTGGGTGTGCGTATGAACTGTTACCACTTCAGCTTGCAGAACCACTTAGCTCTGTCACACTTCTTGTAGCAACATGCCAAGAGATCGCTAAAAACACACCGGGTTTTTAATACCTGGATTTAAGCAAATAGTGCTGGGAATCTCTGAGGCTGCTCATGCATTCAAATGAGAATGTTCCCTCTTCCCTCCTAGCTCCCGCTGCTGTACATTCTTCTAGACTTCAACGCCCACTCAGATGTCTCCCTCCTCTACAGAGCCTTCCCCAGCTGTGCTTGCACGCAAATCAATCCTTCTCCATGGTGACCAACCATCGTGTTTGCTGGGACCATCTCAGTTTAATACTGAAAGCCTTGTGTGGCAGTCAACCCTTTAGTCCTGGGCAACCTGGAACTACAAGATTCTCACCATTCTAAAGGATGCACTGCATATGATTTTGCTACTAACAATACTGTCTGCTACCTAGTAACATAACCTAGTAATTTGTATTGAGTTTGTCTCAAGATTATAAACTGCTCAAGAATAGGGTCCTTTCTTCATCTCCTTGCAATCTCTAATTTGGGCACAAAGAATTACATATTGACTTCATTTGTTTATGTTTATTATTATTATTATTATTATTATTATTATTTGAGACAGTCTTGCTCTGTCAGTCAGGCTGGAGTGCAGTGGCATAATCTCGGCTCACTGCAACCTCCACCTCCCAGGTTCAATCTACTCTTCTGCCTCGGCCTTCCAAGTAGCTGGGATTTACAGGTGTGCACCACTATGCCCAGCTAATTTTTTTTTTTTTTTAGACAAAGTCTCACTCTGTCACCCAGGGTCGAGTGCAGTGGCACGATCTTGGCTCACTGCAACCTCTGCCTCCGGGTTCAAGCAATTTTCCTGCCTCGGCCTCCCAAGTAGCTGGGAGGCTATATAATTTTTGTATTTTTAGTAGAGATGGGGTTTCGCCATGCTGGCCAGGCTGGTCTGGAACTCCTGACCTCAGGTGATCCACCAGTCTCGGCCTTCCAAAGTGCTAGGATTATGGGCGTGAGCCATTGCACCTGGCCATGACTTTTTTTTTTTTTTTTTGAGATGGAGTCTCATCCTGTAACCCAGGCTGAAGTGCAGTGATGCAATCTTGACTCACTGCAACCTCCACCTCCTTGGTTCAAGTGATTCTCCTGCCTCAGCCTCCCAAGTGGCTGTTATTACAGGCATGCATCACCACGCCTAGCTAATTTTTTTTTTTTTGTATTTTTTAGTAGAAATGGGGTTTCACCAGATTGGCCAGGCTGGTCTCCAACTCCTGACCTTGTGATCCACCCACCTCAGCCTCCCAAAGTGCTGGGATTACAGGTGTGACCCACCGTGCCCGGCTGACTTCCTTTCTTTTAATACCAGGTCTTTGCTGTGACACAAGTCAAAATAAGACCCCTAATAGGTTTTTCTCTCTGGAGACAGTATAGGCCCTTCCCACTGAATGGTACCTTGAAACTTAATCCTCCAGGTTGTAGGTCCAGACCAAGGACTCAGGCAGTTTGCCCTGACTGGCAGAAGAGCCCTCAGCAGCCAACTCTGCTGAGTTGATCTCTAGGGAGTTTGATCTGGGCCCACCCATAGAACTTCCAGTTTGGGGAGGCAGCTCCCTGGTGATTCTCATTCAAATGCTCCTTGAAAAACAAGAGTAAGACCGGCACAGGGGTACATGCTTGTAATCCCAGCACTTTGAGAGGCCAAGGTGAGAAGATCCCTTCAGACCAGGAGTTCAAAACCAACTAAGGCAACATAGTGAAACCCCATCTTTATAAAAAAATTTTTTAAAAATTAGCCAGGGTGTGGTGGCACAGACCTGCAGTCCCAGCTATTTAGGAGGCTGAGGCAGGAGGATCACTTGAATCCATGAGGTGGAGGCTACAGTAAGCTGTGATCACACAACTGCACTCCAGCCTGGGCAAAAGAGCAATACCTTGTCTCAGAAGTAAGCAGAAAAAGAGAAAAGAAAAATAGAGTAGAAACTCTTTCTTCCAGCTCTGTTGGGACTCGTTGTCAACTGTCAATCGAAAAAGCCACTTACAGTGAAAATTCATTTTTAAAAAGAAAAAAAAGATAAATATTTAACCTTAAACATTTCATTTTAATTTAAAACATGTAAAAAAAATTTTTTTTGATATAAGTCCAAGGCCTTCCTTTGAATTTGCACATTGGGTTTCTTCGTTGTTTTTCTTGTATAAATCATGCCTGTGTATTTCTAGTTATGATTTCTTTAAAATAGAACAAGAATTTAAAGACACTTGTGAAGTATTCTGAGAATGGAATCCTTCCAGAGCCTTGCAATATTTTTCTCAATCTTTTTACAGTTGTCTCAACCACACCAAATTAAGCAAAAATTTTAAGCAACTTACATTTGTTGGATCTTACCAAAGCATTCGACTAAAATCTTGGTGCAGTGGATGATGTCTTTTTGCATAGAATGTAAGTTACATGAAAAAGGGGATCTTTGTTTTCTTGTTTACTGGTTTATTCCATGCATGAAGAACATTGCCTTCCATATTACAGATGTTTCATTTGTTGAATAAAGTGGTTTACTTAATATTTAATTAAATTAATTAGTTACAACAATAAGTACAAATGCCAGAAAGAGGTTTGGGAGCTAATGCAGCTGACTCTTGGTACACACAGCAGGTAAATCAGCAGGTGGGTGCACCGCTGCATGAGAGAGTCAGGGACTAGCTATGAGCATTCAGCTTGCTGTGAACGTTAGTTAGTGTGTGTTCTTGGGAGGGCATGAAGTGTTCATTCATTTGGGGAGTCAGTTAAATGGAGATTTGTTATGAGATATTCCTCTCTCCTGATCAGATAAGAAGCCCATGTCAAAGGAGAATGGAGGCAAGAGCCAGTGGAATGAGTCAGAGAGTACTTCTCTCATTTCCAGTTCAGAAGGTGCCCTGTTTCGGATTCCAGAGCCAGAGAAGAAAGAACAGGGCAAGCAGATTCTCTATAAGCCCCAAGTTACCAACCCATCTTCCTGAATTGCCAAGAAGCTCTTCTCCCAAGAAATCATTAGAGATCTTTCAACCTGTTCTAAGCTAGGGACTTCTGTGGTTCCCAACAGGAGTTATACATCCTGCCATCATTTTAAGAGGAAAAACCCACCCATTTCTTGGTGTTATTTATTCAAGTCCTTCTTTGCCAAGAATGCACTTGAATAAATTCATTTGAGACCACACCTGGAACGATGTCAGTGAGTCAGACCGTCTCGCTGCAGTCTCTGGCACTACACCAGCAATGTGAAACCTTCTGTAAACCTTAGGGGATAATACTTCATAGGGTTGTTGTGAAAACTCAGTGAGATAACACGCGTGAAGCACTGAGAACAGTGTCTATCCGTAAGTTGGTCAACACATCATCATTGTTGAATTTGCATCTGTGTCCTGCTGCGTCACCAGAACCTCATGAGTGTCACAAACAAGCCAACAACAACAAAAAAGTTTTGTTAACTGAATTTCTGCTTCTGCCACAAAAGACCTAAGTGTTTAGGGCCCTGATTCATTGCAAATAATTAGCCTTTCCTTCCTCGAATGACTTTGGTTTGGGGGAGAATCAAGATTTATGATAGAGGTAAGTAGTGAATCCTGTCACTTTTAGGCAGGTTTGAAAAGCCTGAAGATGGCTGGGCGCAGTGGCTCACGCCCGTAATCCCAGCACTTTGGGAGGCCAAGGCGGGCAGATCACTTGAGGACAGGAGTTCTAGACCAACCTGGCCAATATGGTGAAACCCCATCTCTACTGAAACACAAAAGTTAGCCAGTCCATAGTGGCACATGGCTGTAATCCCAGCTACTCAGGAGGCTGAGGCATGAGAATCACTTGAACCCAGGAGGTAGAGGTTGCAGTGAACCAAGATCACACCACTGCACTGCAGCCTGTATGACAGAATGAGATACCATCTCAAAAAGAAAAAAAAAAAGGTAAAGAAAAGCCTGCAGAAGAGGGAAGGAGTGGCAAGGGTCACTTCATTTTCCAACAGTGTCATTCTTAGATTCCAGCTCACTACAAATGTAATATTACATTCACTGGATAAAACCTTACCTAGCTATTAAAACTGATTGCATGAAGATTGTTATTAGTAATGAAAAATGATTGGAATATTAATTGAAGATTTACAAAACAACCATTCATTTAGGCATTCATTTATTAAGTCAGTAGCAAATAAAACAGATGACGTCCCTGACCTCATGAAATATTTGTTCTTATAAGACAAATATTCATTAGAGAACATGTGGAAATGCATCTAAATTTTAATAGATTTTTTATTTCTGAGTTATTGAATTACGTTTTATTTTCATGTTCTTTACATTTTTTTGTATTTTTTTCAAAAAGGGCAGGAGGAAACGTTTATTAGGGATATTTTAACTGCCCAGTGTCTGAATCCCCTTCTTATAATTGGAGAAAATCCCTTTTCCTTTTTTTTTTTTTTTTGCTCAGGCTGGAATGCAGTGGCACGATCTCAGCTCACTGCAACCTCCATCTCCCAGGATCAAGTGATTCTCTTGCCTCAGCCTCCCGAGTAGCTGGGACTACAGGGGCGCATCACCATGTCTAGCTAATTTTTTTGTATTTTTAGTAGAGACAGGGTTTCACTGTGTTCGCCAGGATGGTCTCGATCTCCTGACCTCATGATCCACCCCCCTCCACCTCACAAAGTGCCGGGACTACAGGTGTGAGCCACTATGCCTAGCCCGGAGAAAATTCCTTTTTATAAAGCTTGTCTACCCACACACCACAGAGGCTGAAAACACCAGATATTTTCTTTCCCAGCTACCCTCACAGTCAGGTGTAGGCATGTGATCCTAGGTTGCTTGGGCCTCGTACAATCATAGTGCTCTTTGCTTTGAGACCAAGTGATACAGGCAAGTAGGGATGACAGTGAATCCTTGCTGGTGGTGCAAACTGTTGCAGTGAGACTGGACCCTGGGCCAGGCACGGTGGCTAACACCTGTAATCCAAGCACTCTGGGAGGCCAAAGTGGGTAGATCACCTGAGACAGGAGTTTGAGACCAGCCTCACCAATATGGTGAAATTCCGTCTCTACTAAAAATACAAAAAAATTAGCTGAGCATGGTGGCGGGGACCTGTAATTAATCACAGGTACTCACGAGGCTGAGGCAGGAGAATTGCTTAAACCTAGGAGGTGGAGGTTGTCTCTACTAAAAATACAAAAATTAGCTGGGTATAGTAGTCGTAGCTGCTTGGGAGGCTGAAACAGGAGAATTGCTTGAACCTGGGAGGCGGAGGTTACAGTGAGCAGGGATCACACCACTGCACTCCAACCTGGGCAACAGAGAGAGACTCTGTGTGAAAAAAAAAAAAAAAAAGGCTGGCTCCCAGCCCAGCAGTTCAACAATGTTGGCAGCATTGTTAAATGCCAAGTGGCCACATGATCTGGATTGCTCCTGTTGAAGTGGTCAGTTTTTCTGCCCTAACAAAAGTCTAGTGTAAGCCACAGAGCTCCATCATCGGTGGCAGAGGGATAGTCAGGCGGGTGCTTGAGCAGACTGCGATGACACAAGCTGCTCCATGAGCAGCAGCCTCACCCCTGCCACTCCGCCATCCTTCTCTCCACTCACACCTACAGCCTCATGGGGCGTTCCCTATGTCAGCTCAAAGCCACGCATGGCCTCAAATGGATCTGCTTCATCTGCTTGCTCCAACCAGAAGTAAACAACTGGCTCTATATCCCCACTCTCGAATGGCCCTAAAGGCTGTGGGTAAAGGGAACTCCTCCCAGAGGATGGAAGCTTGAGTGGAACACTTTATTGGCCACTCTTGCTGGACAGTGAGAGAATTTGAGATAAAAAGCATTGTCAGATTCTAGGGCTGCAGGTTGTGGCTGATGTTTGGATAGCTGGTCATGCACATGGAAGGAACAAGACTGGAGAATTAGCCACAGGGGGGTTTGACGAGGTATGTGGATGGGCATCTAGAAGAGTTTCCCAAAAGTGTACTCTCTCTCGAAGACCCTTCACAGTGGGAAAGGTAATGAATAAATCAGTGAACAAAATTATCAGCCCTGTAGACATCAGTCAACCTCCTTCCCAGCCACCCCACTGACTGTTTGATGGGCTCGTATGCAAAGTGGCCATGGAGGTAGAAATGGAACCAACTGATGGACTCAGAGACACAGATTTCCCTTCACCATGACTAATTTGGCAACTTCCAGTGCTGAGGCCCAACCTGCGAGCAGCATGAACCCTCCCTTATCCGTAATATTGTGTCTTTCTCAGACGGATCATCCTAGCTGCCAGCCAAAGTGAAAAACAGAATGTCTCCAAGCTGAGGTCAACAGCGTTAAGATAAAATGATTGGCTGCCCTCAGCGTTGGCACAAAGTAGTTTTCTTTCTTGTATCTACACTCAGCGTATTTTCTTAGACCCACCAGAATGAGAAAGTAATTAAGTCCCCTCTTTGTCCCAGCTTGAAAATATTTGTGGAAGGCCTGCAGCCTGCTTTCTTCCAGCCAGCCAGCTGCCTAATGAAGCGCTTCCTCCTTAGCTGCTTCAATCTTCCCTCATTTCACCATTTTAGCTGATCTCCTGTAAACCCCTTCCAAGTTATCTGCATCTTGTTGACACCACGGCACTCCAGATTGAATGCCAGGCACATTCATGTTGAGCCTCACCTCCTCAACCCATTACATGCCTCCAGCAGCAAAGGCAGCTAAACCATGTAAGCATCTTATCTAATTATTGTAATTGCTTTTCAGACACATGCACACACGACAGATATACTTTGTTACCTCACAGAATTAATGCCTCCTGAAGGTCAAAAACCACATATCTCTTGGTTAGAAAAAGCAGGGAAATAAATAGTCTTGTGAGATTGACGAGTCTAACCATAGGAAGAGCAGTGGATGACGTTTTGAGGGTATTGGTAGATGGTCTAGCTATAACCCCACAAGCTGGGAGACCTTGGATAAGTCATTTCACCAGCTGGGCTCTCCATTTCCTGGTGAATAAAAATGAATGGGTTAAATTGCCACAAAAGAGCTTCCTGACGTTGCTATTTGTGAAAAGATAAATGCTGTTTCAAGCTAACATTTAAACCAGTGGATCACAATGAGAGTGAGACTGAATCAGAATCCCCTGGGGTGCGTTTGCAGACTACACCGGCTTCTCCAGGCCTGGGCCTACTGCCCCTCCAAGGCCTTTCAACATTTGGAGAAAGGGGAAAGAGGCATTTCTGCTTTATGAAAGCAGATTATGGTGGTAACTGTGGTGGGCAGAACAACGTCACCCTCATAATCACCAGAATCTGTGAATATGTTGGGTTATGTGGAAATAAAGGCTGCAGATGGAATTAAGGTTGCTAATCAGTCGACCTTAAGAGAAAGAGATTCTACTGCATTGTTCAGGCAGCCCCAGTGTAATCACAAGGCTCCTAAAAGCAGGAGTGAGAGGCAGAGGAGCAGGTCAGAGGACTCAAGATGAGAAAGGTTTCACTTACTATGGCTGGCTTTGGAGATGGAGAAGGTGCCACAAGGCAAGGTGCAGGTTCTCCTCTAGCACCTCCAGAAAGAATGCAGCCCTGCTCACACCTTGATTTTAGCCCAGTGAGGCTGATTTCAGCCTCTGACCTCCAGAACTCTAAAGATAATAAATGTGTGTTGGTTCGAGCCACTAAATGCATGGTAATTTTGTCACAGTGGGAAGAAGAAACAAATATAGTGACCTCTAGGGGCAATCTACCTATACACTGACTCTCACATATAACACACACAAACACGCACACACGTGCATCTCACATACTATGCAGTCACACTCACATACACGCATATTCCCACCCACCCACATGCTCACACAGTCACTCACACACGCTTACACACGTAGTCACATGTATGTCAAAACAAATCCACTCCGCTGCTCCGGATTTTATGGAATAATATCCATAGACTTTCCCCAAGAAAAGACTGAATTTCTACTAAGTGAACTAAGAAATAAGTTGCAATGAAAGAAGCTATGGAATGGGGAGGGCTCTCTGACACCCCAGCTTCTGCCAGGCTCACCTCTGCCTCCCTGTGCTGGCCTCAGTCCTGTGACGACTCTAGGCAGCCCCTTCCCTCAGCTCATACAGACCTGTCCTTTCCCACAGAAGAAGCTCTTCTGCCTCCCACAGCCCTTAACCCCCTCCCTCCGTTGGTTTGAGAGGAGCTCCTGGCTTTCTGTATCACTCTATGCAGCCAACTCTTAGACCAACTCCTAGCTCCCACTCCCACTTCCTTTTAATCCATGTTTCTTCTTTTCTCCAAAATGCATTTGATCTGCTTTTCATGATACCAAGATCTGATTTTGCGGGGGCATAGGGATCACACCTGCAATCCCAGCACTTTTGGAGGTCCAAGTTGAGGTCAGGCGTTTGAGACCAGCCTGACCAACACAGTGAAACCCCGTCTCTACAAAAAAATTTAAAAATTAGCTAGGCATAGTGGTGCATGCCTATAATCACAGCTACTCAAGAGGCTGAGGCAGGAGAATCACTTGAATCTGGGATGTGGAGGTTGCCATGAGCCAAGATCATGCCACTGCACATCAGCCAGGGCAAAATAGTGAGACTTTTTCTCAAAAAAAAAAAAAAAAATCTGATTTTTTTTCTTTATTTCAACTCCCCCTCAATATTTAGGGCACACATTTGTACTGCAGTTGATGGGGCTGGTTAGGGTCAGTGGCAGGGTGACGTGATAGGAAAAGTTCCATAGGGAACCAAGAGGCCTGAGGGCCCGTCCTGGCCATCCCATTACTCCATGGTCACTTAATTACAAAATGTATCACCCTTCACAAAATACATTAGACTGCTTATCTCTAAACCCCACATGAAATGTTTCCTTACTATTAGTGTATTTGTGTTCAGCAGGAGTGTTCTGTGTTTCCAGGAAATTAAAATCTCTTTAGGGCATGAGTTAAGCTTCTATTTATTTTTAGTTCGCCCCCACACCTAGTAAAATGTGCCATACCCTGTGGGTGTCCAGTAAATGTGGATTGACTGACTGCTGACCTCAAATTAAGAAGGCGTGACTCTTCCTTCTGCTGCTGAGATGTGAATACAAAACGAAAAATAATACTCATAGTTTTTTAAAAAGAAGCATGACTCGATTCAAATACTGCAAGCCATGAATCTGCTGGGGAAGGAAGACCACTTTGTAGGTATGCATTCGAGTCTTCTTCATATCAACAGAGACATTTTGAGAATCTATGTTCAAATGTATAAAATAGTTCTTATTAAGCTATAAAACAGGGGTCCTCAACGGGGGCCACAGACCAGT